GTATAGCTAGGGGCTCTGGGGCAAGTGATGCTGTGTCTTCTTGGTGCTTGGGGGGGGTCAACAGTGGGAGGGCTTCTAATGTTCTGGCCCCACAGCTGGACCTCCTGATGGCACCTGGTATTTCTGGCCACTGTGTGACACAGAGTGTTGGACTGGATGGGCCTTTGGCCTGATCCAACATTGGCGTCTCTTATGTTCTTATGTTCGGAAGGAAGGAAGGAAGGAAGGAAGGAAGGAAGGAAGGAAGGAAGGAAGGAAGGAAGGAGAAGCAGCGTGGGCCAAGAGCCGAGCGGGAAGCTGAACAGAAAGAGGGTCGAAAGGGGAAGGCGGCTTAGCTAACCATCAGAGAGGGGTCACAAAACAGAGACTGCACAGAGAGGAGAATGATGAAGAAGAGAGAAGAGATTGGATTTATACCCCGCCCTTCACTACCCAAAGGGAGTCTCAGAGTGGCTTACATACTCCTTCCCCTCCCCACAACAGACACCCTGTGAGGGAGTTGGGGCTGAGAGAGCTCTGACAGAAACTGCTCTTTCTCAAGGACAACTGTGCCAGAACTATGGCTTGCCCAAGGTCATCCAACCAGGTGCGAGTGGAGGAGTGGAGAATCTGAGACACCTTTGGGTAGTGAAGGGCGGGGTATAAATCCAATCTCTTCTTCTTCTTCTCTATAATGGGTCACTGGTTGCACCGACCCACTCCACTGACTAAATCAGGTTGAGTTCCCTGCCCATTCAATGCAGCTGAGCTCTAGCATGATCACATAATAATGGTCGCATTAAGAACTCTGGTCACTGCTTAGTCACTATGGTGTAGTGGCCAGGGACTGAGATTGGAGAGACTCCGGTTCTACTCCCCGTTGAGCTACAAAGCTCCGTGGGTGACCCTGGGCCACTCCTTCTCTCTGAGCCCAGCCTACTTCACAGGGCTGTTGTGAGGCTAAAGTGGAGGGGAACTCACATATGCTGTCCTGAGCAGTATGAATACATTAAATAAAACATACAATTTTAATACCATAGATCTTAATCGCTAGCAGAGATGGGGAAAGAGGGTACTCTGAACTGCTATCTAGTAAAGGTAAAAGTTCCCTTGCTCGAAAGCCAGTCGAATCCGACTCTAGGGTTGCGGTGCTCATCTCCGTTTCAAAGCTGAAGAGCCAGCGCTGTCCGAAGACGTTTCCGGCATGACTAAACACCAAGGCGCACGGAACGCTGTTACCTTCCCACCAAAGTGGTCCCTATTTATCTACTTGCAATTTCTCGCTTTCGGACTGCTAGGTTGGCAGGAGCTGGAACTAGAGACGGGAGCTCACTCCATCATGCGGCACACTCGGGTCTCGAACTGCCAAACTACCGACCTTCCACAGCCTGCAGTTCAGCGTCTTAACCACCTGAGCCACCGCAGCTCCTGAACTGCTATCTACTAAGCTGCTAATATCGTCTTTCCCCACCTTCCCTGCCAGCACGGACAGAAGAGAGGCTAAAGTGGATTTAACAAAACATACAAGGATTCACAATTTTCCTCTAAAAGAATGACAGCAGTTAAATCGCTGACCTCTCTTGCGGTTTTCTGGACGCCATGTGGTAAAGATGCTAAAAAAAAAAAACCCAGCTCAAACAGTCACGAAGCCTTCACCATACACATGAGTTCTATTGAGGTCCGTAAGAGCACAGGGAAAGGTTTGTGTGAACCATACGGCCTTGTCTTGATCGCTAGAACTACAGCAGGTCCAAAAACTACTGCCAAAATCATGGGGGCTATTGGAAGAAGAAAAAAAAAGATGCTCTGTTCAACCAACATTTTCATTACATAACTATAAATATGCAATTGCAAGATGGCATCTGTATAGGAGGAGAGAGGAAAATGGTGGAACACACACATAAGAATCAACCGAAAGAGGTGCTGTGTTCTATACCAGGCTTCAAATGTCATGTTCTGAAGACCTCACACATCTCCCTAGCTGCTACGTGCCCAAAAACTGCACCGCGTAGGGGCATGCAACGTGCTTACCAGATGTGCTCCGGTATGCACTGTGTTTCTGTTCCGTTCACAGAAACTGAGTGCTGGAAGAAGCGTGGTATAAAATAAAGGACATTCAAACAAATGAAGCCCTGAAGTTTATAAAACCCAAGCTAAATGTGACATCTCCCAGCCCTAGGATAGTGCCTGCTTTAAAAAATAACCCAGTTTATCAGCTGCAAAGAGGGAATGTAGAATTCTCTTGATTAATCAACAGCCTTAAAAAAAAATTTAGGCTGCTCTTGGGCAGAAAACAGAAAGTCACATCACAGGATTCAATGCTCCCTCTAAGTTGTGGAGTGTTGTGAGCAAAAATTTTGTGAGCTACTGGCATTAATGTTGTGAGCGAGCTATTTGGCTGCTGCATAAGTTAGTTTGCTCTGGAGACATCCTTCCCTCCACTGACTAAATCAGGTTGAGTTCCCTGCCCATTCAATGCAGCTGAGCTCTAGCATGATCACATAATAATGGTCGCATTAAGAACTCTGGTCACTGCTTAGTCACTATGGTGTAGTGGCCAGGGACTGAGACTGGAGAGACTCCGGTTCTACTCCCCGTTGAGCTACAAAGCTCCGTGGGTGACCCTGGGCCACTCCTTCTCTCTGAGCCCAGCCTACTTCACAGGGCTGTTGTGAGGCTAAAGTGGAGGGGAACTCACATATGCTGTCCTGAGCAGTATGAATACATTAAATAAAACATACAATTTTAATACCATAGATCTTAATCGCTAGCAGAGATGGGGAAAGAGGGTACCTCTGAACTGCTATCTAGTAAAGGTAAAAGTTCCCTTGCTCGAAAGCCAGTCGAATCCGACTCTAGGGACGCGGTGCTCATCTCCGTTTCAAAGCTGAAGAGCCAGCGCTGTCCGAAGACGTTTCCGGCATGACTAAACACCAAGGCGCACGGAACGCTGTTACCTTCCCACCAAAGTGGTACCTATTTATCTACTTGCAATTTCTCGCTTTCGGACTGCTAGGTTGGCAGGAGCTGGAACTAGAGACGGGAGCTCACTCCGTCATGCGGCACACTCGGGTCTCGAACTGCTGAACTACCGACCTTCCACAGCCTGCAGTTCAGCGTCTTAACCACCTGAGCCACCGCAGCTCCTGAACTGCTATCTACTAAGCTGCTAATATCGTCTTTCCCCACCTTCCCTGCCAGCACGGACAGAAGAGAGGCTAAAGTGGATTTAACAAAACATACAAGGATTCACAATTTTCCTCTAAAAGAATGACAGCAGTTAAATCGCTGACCTCTCTTGCGGTTTTCTGGACGCCATGTGGTAAAGATGCTAAAAAAAAAAAACCCAGCTCAAACAGTCACGAAGCCTTCACCATACACATGAGTTCTATTGAGGTCCGTAAGAGCACAGGGAAAGGTTTGTGTGAACCATACGGCCTTGTCTTGATCGCTAGAACTACAGCAGGTCCAAAAACTACTGCCAAAATCATGGGGGCTATTGGAAGAAGAAAAAAAAGATGCTCTGTTCAACCAACATTTTCATTACATAACTATAAATATGCAATTGCAAGATGGCATCTGTATAGGAGGAGAGAGGAAAATGGTGGAACACACACATAAGAATCAACCGAAAGAGGTGCTGTGTTCTATACCAGGCTTCAAATGTCATGTTCTGAAGACCTCACACATCTCCCTAGCTGCTACGTGCCCAAAAACTGCACCGCGTAGGGGCATGCAACGTGCTTACCAGATGTGCTCCGGTATGCACTGTGTTTCTGTTCCGTTCACAGAAACTGAGTGCTGGAAGCTTGGTATAAAATAAAGGACATTCAAACAAATGAAGCCCTGAAGTTTATAAAACCCAAGCTAAATGTGACATCTCCCAGCCCTAGGATAGTGCCTGCTTTAAAAAATAACCCAGTTTATCAGCTGCAAAGAGGGAATGTCGAATTCTCTTGATTAATCAACAGCTTTAAAAAATCAGGCTGCTCTTGGGGAGAAAACAGAAAGTCACATCACAGGATTCAATGCTCCCTCTAAGCTGTGGAGTGTTGTGAGCAAAAATTTTGTGAGCTACTGGCATTAATGTTGTGAGCGAGCTATTTGGCTGCTGCATAAGTTAGTTTGCTCTGGAGACATCCTTCCTGAGCTGAGACACAAATGTGTGAGCCGGAGGCTAAAAAACTGTGAGCTGGCTCACACTGACTCAGCTTAGAGGGAACACTGAACAGGATACAGTCCAGTCCTTTTACATCTTCCAGTTTTTCAAGATAGTCTAAAATGAGTGTGATCTTTGAAGGAAACAGTCAACCTCCTTTTCATTTTTCTGCCTTCTGAACTTGGTATAATCTGCAACTACACAGCACAGCCAACCTTAAAAAACCACTTTTCCCCCTTAAGCCGTTCCCTCACTTTCTCTGCCTCCTCTCTCCCCTCTTTAAACTCCTCCGTTTCAGTCCCTTCGCTGAGGTCTATTCCCACCATTACTTATTTATTCAACCTGCACATCTTACTTACACTGTTCTATGCACCTACCTCAGTTCCAAAGACTCCCTGTAGAGTCAAGGTCCAGATACATCTTAAGATTCCACATTAATTAAACCACAGAGGCGTCGTTCAGAAACGTACACTCCAGAGCTACGGTAGCTAGCCTGGTTTTATAACAACCACATGCTTGCACACACAGGTCAAGACTCCCAAGTCCGCTATGACATGGTTTCTATTTCGGATCACAACCCCTTTAGAACAAAAGCCAGAATTTTTCAAACTGTTTCAACTGTAACAGCTTGCTCTTGATCTAAAGACTTTATAATAACAATCTGCAGTCATCAAAGTGAGTTCTTGTAGAGCTGCCCTCTAAGCCCTTAGCAGCTGGCACAAAGTGTCTCAGGGCATCTTAAAGCCTAACAAATTTCACAAGCAAGAACAGGCTTTGTCAGAAGTGCACAGAGGACAACAGTTGCAGTATGTCCTGTCTGGTGCTGTACGTATGCTCCTACTCTGTAATTTCTGAATCACTTTGGTGTACTGATTAAGAATGGCGGAATCTGATCTGGGAGAACTGGGTTTGATTCCCCACACCTTCACATGCAGCTGCTGGGTGACCTTGGGTCAGTCACAGTTCTTTCAGAGCTCTTCTCTTAAGGGCAGTTTCTCTCAGCCCCACCTCACAGGGTGCCTGTTGTGAGGAAGAGGAGGAGATTGGATTTATACCCCGCCCTTCACTCAGAGTCTCAGAGCGGCTTACAAACTCTTTTCCCTTTCCCTCCACACAACAGACAGCTCTGACAGAACTATGGCTTGCCCAAAGTCACCCAGCGGCTGCAAGTGGAGGAGTGGGGAATCAAACCCGGTTCTCCCAGATTAGAGTCCACGCACTTAACCACTACACCAAACAGGAGGAAGGGAAATGGTATTGTAAGCCACTTTGAGACTCCAAGTGAAGGGCGGGGTATAAATCCTAAAACTTCCTGAAACTGCCATCTTTTGGTTGCGCCACCACCCTGTGTCAGATTTCCCAAGGTGACTGCAGGTTCAAAAAAGGTCAGGGACTCCTGGCTTATGCTTTGTTTCAGCTCAGTTTCAGATTTCTGCAATTGAAACCCTGTTGCATTGTTGATTGGACGTCCTATCCTGTTGACTGTATTGTCTTACACCGTGTAATCGGCCTTGAGTCTCAGAGAGAAAAAGGCAGTCTATAAACATAAATAAACAAAGCCTCTTAAAATATTTTCATAACTTTACTTCCTTTTTAAGTCTCATGTTGAGAAACAGTCTTCCACCTCATACAAATAATCTCTAGTGTCCACTTCTTCCGTCTGCTGAAATTAGCTTTTATATGCCAGAGCTAGTAGTGTTAAACTGGGAAGACCCAGGTTCAAATCCCAACTCAGTAATGAAGTTTGTTAGGTGACCTCGGACCAGTCACTCAGCCTACTCTACATCGCAGGGTTGTTGTGAGAATAACAAAATTGCTGCAGATGTGCATACAATTAGAAAATAGTTGGCAATAATATAGAACAACAATAGAATTCTAAGATGTTTTAATTCTTGTTTTCAGCAAAGAGCGCCATCGAGATGACGTCGAGATGAGCAGAAACGCAGATTACGAACTTCTCGAGTTCTAGCGTTTTTTTCGATACAGTTCTTTATCAAACAAATCTCAGAATCTTAGTTCTTTAATGCTCTTCATACGAATACTTCACAAGAAGGAATTCCTAAATCCAGAAACTTTTCCAAACAGCTTTGGACTAACAATTTTCAACTTCAATCGGACGGATGTCACTCTGTCATGCGGAACTCAGGTCTTGAACTGCAAAACTACAGACCGTCTGGTCTGCAGCTCAGTGTCTTAAACCCTGAGCTTTATTAAAAGAAAAAGGTAAAGGTTCCCTTGCTCGAAAGCCAGTCGAATCCGACTCTAGGGTTGCGGTGCTCATCTCCCTTTCAAAGCTGAAGAGCCAGTGCTGTCCGAAGACGTTTCCGTGGTCATGTGGCCGGCATGACTAAACACCAAGGTGCACGGAACGCTGTTACCTTCCCACCGAAGTGGTACCAATTTTTTAAAATAATTTTTTTAATAAAAAAAGACGGTACAAGTATTTTAAATATGTCAATGTGTGCACACATTGAATTTCCTGCATTTTGCAGGGGGATGGACTAGATGACCGTGGAAGTCCCTTCCAGCTCTATGATTCTATGAGATATATATATGTGTGTGTGTGTGTACTACATATACTCCTAACTTTCACCCTTACAACAACCCTCTGCGGTTGAGTAAGCTGAAAGAAAGGGACTGGCCCGAAGCCACCCAGCCAATTTTGGGACCTGAGTGGGCAGAATTTGAACACAGGTTCCCCCTCCCCCCCCAATCCAACCCTCTGACACCTCCAAACCATTGGCTCAAGGAAGGAGGCAGCCACCCGCTCCGCCCAATCCCCTCCTCGGCAGATGGGCCCGCCCTCGCCGTAGCCCCGCCCCCTTCCCCTCAGAGGCGCGGCTCCCTGCCGGCGCCCCCTGGCGGCGACTCACGAGGGCGGTTCTTGCGCTGGGAGTCGAGGCGCGGGCGGAGGGCGGGGCCGGGGCGCTCCCTCTCGCGGCTCC